AGAAGCTGAAAGAACTTTACGACAAATGTGTATTCCCACCTAGATTCTACCACTAATATTTTGCTATACTTTATCAATATCTATCCATCCACCAACCTTCCTATTTTTTGAAGCATTTTAGAGTACACAGACAACAGTACACTTCCTTCTAAATGCTTTAGCATGCATATAATTAACTAGAATTCAGTATTTAATTTTTCTTTTAAGATAATTTACATACAATGAAATGCACAAATCTTAAGTACACATTTGATGAATTTTGACAAGTGCATATACCTGTGTAACTGAAGCTCCTGTCAAGACACAGGACATTGCTATCATGGCAGAAAGTTCTCTCATGCTCCTTTCCAGGCAGTCCTTTCTCCTAATCCCCAAAAGATAACTACCATTATGTTACTCTTTTTACCATAGATTAGTTTTGCTTGTCCTAGAACTTTATATAAATGGAATTATACGCATGTACTCTTCTGTGTAAGACTTCTTTTATCCAGCATGTTTTTGAGATTCATCCATATTGTTATAGATCACTACTTCTTTCTTTTATATTGCTGTTTAATGTGAATATATCATGGATATCCTCTTTTATACAGGATGAAATAATATTTCCCTCATTTATTTTTTCACCCCTAAGTCACTAACATTATGGCTTTAGTAAATGCTTGTGAAAGGATTTTTTTTTAAAGTAGTGTATTCTAAACCTTTCTCAATTCCCTGACAATTTAGTAACACCACCTCTCCCTATCCTAGATCTTAGCCAGTGAAAGGGATCAGATAGTTGCCAATTTGAAGTGTGTATCACAGATACTGGTGTGTGGTTTTCTTTAATGCTGGTAAATCCCACAAGGAACCATTAGCTTTCATGCTAGGTATATCTTGAGATCTTAAACTGTCTCCCAATCTTACTCCTATCAGAATTTTTGAAACAACATTGCCATTTCATTATGGAGAGAGAAGTGGAAGTAGGAGGCATTATGTTATTTCTGGTGGTTGCAGGTAGGAGAGTTCTCCCTGTGGGCCAGCTGCTACAGCAGCAGCAGCTGCAAAGGGTAGAAGATAGGGATAGGATAAAGGAGATGGAGACTTTATAGGTTGTTAGTAGTTAATCTCTACTACAATTGTCAATTGACACCCAAATTTTTTGCAGAGAGAAATCTAGTTCCACTTGGATTGCAGTATTTCATTTGCAAATTAGACAGTACCATAACCAAACATGTTTGATAGAATGTCAAGGTAATAATTCTTACGAACTTAAATATACCAAATTTGCCATGTTTTTATTTATACAAAAATGGTACTTTGTATCTGATCTCAAAATACCATAAGAACATGGACTCATTTTTTAATAGAATCGCTTTTCATTTAATTTTGTGATATCCAGGAGAAAAATCTAATTTAAAAAAATTCTATATGGTTTAAGGACAAGTAACTATGGATATCAAAGAAGCATGTAAAATATTAAGACCTGCTCTCTGTATTTTCCAGAAGGTATAAAAGTAATACCACTTAATAGGTTAGCTGCTACCTTGCACTTTCAAAGCACTTTAGAGTCATTCGTCTGTCTGAAGTAGACCGGTATTAGCACCTTTGGTTAATAGATGAGAACTCTTTTTTTCTCCTTGTATTTTACTATATTTGAGTTCCAGAATTTATCCAGAGCTCTCCAAACAGTGCTTGTGGCCTTCTGGTGGCCAAACAAAGATTCCTTCTAATAATGACCCCCCCACACCCCCTATCAAACAATCTCCTAAATACTTCTGGGATGTTTTTCCAGAAGAGTTTTAAAAACTAGAAACAAAGAAAGAATTGTCACTTTTTGAAGTAGCAATAAAAATAAATTTAACTTTAACATTTATAAGAGATTCTATCACTTATGTCAAAAGGTAAAACAACTATGTATACAAATGGGTAAAAGATTTCATAAATTTTGATAAAGTCTTTAAGCAAATACAGCTTTTATATGTACCTAATTTGTGGTTTTCTTTTTGGAGGAGACATTATGGTATCCTGTATCTAAAATAATTTATTGATTGTATTATATTGGTCTATATATGTTTGTGGTTAACAAAGAAGAAGGAAAGAAACCACGTGTTTATTTCCTGTTTTTGTCATAATTAGTTATAAAGATATCATGTCTTCAAATTACTGGTTATATTATTACTTAAATAATCTTAAATTAGAACATGTTTATGGGAACTTTATAATTTGAAGAAGTAAAAGGTATCACAGTTAGATACTTCATTGTGCTGGTCTTTGTTCATTTAAATATAGAGCATCTTGAAGGTAAAAGTTTCAAAGTCTGATTTGTTTAATCTACGTTTATTTACAACTATGTTTAATTCTACTCTTGTTTTTAAGCATTTTAATACTGCAGAATATATTAGTCATTAGGTGGTCTTAATGTAGATATCTTCAGCACTTCTACAGAAAGTCATTGTCAGAGAATTCATTCTAATTCAAGGTTAATTAGTGTACCATTAAAATAATGTGTTACAAAAATTAATTGCATTGCAGGTCAAAAACGTGTTAAAAAGCATAGTGTAAATGTCTGAGAGCATATCATCCTTCTTAAAACATTGCTATATGTGTGCCACCCTTCTGGAAAAGACATCCAAAGTGAAAATCAGTACTGAGGTCCAGTCATAGGTGTTTCCCCTAAAGTAAATTTTTGGCACCACATATGGAAAATTTAAAATATAACTCCCATTAGCAGTAAAATGTGTTGCTTATCTGCTTTGCCATTGAAACAGCTAAGGATTTATATTTTAGCATTAGTTGATGTAACCACAATGGGTCAAACCTAAAGAGAAATCAGGAACCCACCCAGTTGAGAGATAGAAATTATCTGCACATCTTGTGGTAAAAGTACTAGATATATTAATGTTATATTTTCCTACTTTACTATTAGATAGTTCTGGTAAGTGCCCTATGTGAGCATATCACACATCATTTTAACTATGCAATAATTCTTGTTAATAGTTTATAAAATATATACTTATAATTAGAACTGAAAATAATAGGGACTTTGAAATTTTGTCTGATTCTTTTATTTATTATTTATTTATTTTGAGACAAAGTCTCACTCTGTTGCCCCTGCTAGAGTGCTGTGGTATCAGCTGAGCTCACAGCAACCTCAGATTCCTGGGCTCAAGCAATCCTTCTGCCTCAGCCTCCCGAGTAGTTGGAACTACATGCATGCACCACCATGCCCAGCTAATTTTTTTTGATTTTTGGTAGAGACGGGGTCTCGCTCTTGCTCAGGTTGGTGTCGAACTCCTGAGCACAAACGATCCGCCCGCCTCGGCCTCCCAAAGTGCTAGGATTATAGGTGTGAGCCACCGCGCCGGCCTGTCTGATTCTTTAAATGTAAAAGCCGTGAAACAGTTATATTGAACTATGGAACATTTTGTTCATTGTTATTTGTTCAGAGAGTTTCATTAAAATGTCTAATTGTTCATATGGAGGATATTTGAATCATTACCCTAGTAACAGCAGGTCACATTAGAGCTACAGAAATTTTAACAAGAGAAATTCTGTTCTAGTACTCAAGAATACATTTTTTACTGGACTTTTGAAATTGTCTCCATTTTCAAAAACTCTTAGTGGGCTCCAAACAAGGTAAAATGAAATAGTTTTGCTACTACAACAAATTGTGTGTGATTTGCCCACATTTTCAAATTTTCTGCTTTCCTCCTTTTAAGGATTTTGTATAAGCCTATTGGAAAACAGGTAAATAAAAGTAAATCAAGCAAAAGAATAGGACAATTTGTAGGGAAGAAGTTTTCCTACTCTGTTTTTTTGTTTAAACAATAGATCCCAGTTTAATTAGTTGAACTAATAGGTGTGCAAAGAGTCTGAATGATAAAAAAGAATACAGGCAGGTTTAGAAAGCTTTCTCGAAAAGTACTTTTTACTTTAAAGCCATCCTTGTTGCAGCCTATGTCTATTTAAATCTTATCTAAAATGACATAAAGCAGGATTTCAACTTAATGTGGGAAAACATTCCATTCTTTATAAAAGACAACATCATTACCACCCTCAAAAAGTAGTGTTAAGCCACACATCATTCATTTCTTAAGGAAAGCCTTTAGCTTTTAGGGTTTTGTTTATTCTTTTTCACCAGGTAGTCTTCTTTCAGAAATTAACTAGACCAAGATTTTCTGACCGTAGAGAAAAGAAATAACACATGTAATAGTAACTATGAGTCTTTGGTAGACATGACTTAAAATTTATATTTCATATTTAGTATTTTATCTCTTAATATTAATCATCCATTGTCTTTTACAAGTAGCTTTCACAGTCAACTGATGATAGATACTAGTAGATTGTACTAGTGTTTTGAGATATTCCAGGTATAAATTTGTAATACTAAGGACAATGCTTATTTTCAAACTGGTTAAATATTCTTTTTAAGGAATAAACTTGAGGAAATTTAGATCTAGTACATTTAGATTATGATTTCTACCTAGGTTTTAAGTGCTCATGTTTTTATTCATAAGATTTCTTTCACCAGAGGAAGCGAACAGAATTTAAGAAAACTGTATTTTGTTATAAAGTATAATTTACAAAGCATTTTCTTATAGCTCATTTATTCAATAAATATTATTGATATTCTTGTTGTTATTACTATCATCTCCACTCTGTGGGTGAGGAAACTGATTTGACTGAAAGAGGTCATTGGGCTAGTTCATAATGGATCCAGAAGTAGAACTCAGGGTTTCCAGTTGATTGTCTATTGTTTTCCCATAGCACATTTTTATAATCAATCATTCTTAGAATAATTAACCTATTTTGCATCTTTGTCTTTCTTAAAACATATTTTTAAAAACATTTTAAATTTCAATAGATTTAGGGGGTACAAGTTGAATTCCGTTATATTATATAGTGGTGAAGCATGAGCTTTTAGTGTACCCACCACCTGAATAGTGTACATTGTACTCCATAGGTAATTTTTCATATCTCCTGCAACTGGATCATTCATTTATATTTTTCTGTGTTTTTAGGGTAGAGCTCTACTCCACTGGGCATGTGACCGAGGACATAAGGAACTAGTCACAGTCTTACTACAATATAGAGCTGACATTAACGGTCAGGTAAGAGTGGAGTTTTTATTTTTTTAATTGAAGTAAAATTCACATAACATAAGATTTACCTGATTAACCATTTTGAAGTATACAATTCAATGGCATTTAGTACATTTGACAACATTATACAACCATTACTACTATTGAGTTTTGTATCATTGTTTTCACTCCAAAAGGAAACCTTGTACCCGTTAAACAGTCACTTCATTTCCCCCCTCACCCCAGACCTTGGCAACCACTAATTTGCTTTCTGTTTCTACAAATTTGTCTACTCTGGATATTTTATATAAATGGAATCATAAAATATGTAGTCATTTGTGTCTGGCTTCTTTCACATAGCATAATGTTTTAAAAGTGTATCCATGTTATAGCATGTAATAGTATCTCATTCCTTTTTATGGCTGAATTGTAAGTCTATCCCACATTTTGTTTATGCATTCATCAGCTGATGGACAATTGGGTTGTTTCTACCTTTTTGCAATTGTGATTAATGCTGCTATGAACATTTGTGTACATGTTTTTTGTTTGAACACCTGTTTTCAGTTCTTTTGGTTATATACCTAGGAGTAGAATTGCTTGGTCATATGTGGTAATTTGATGTTTAACTTTTTGAGAAACATCCAAAATGTTTCCACAGGAGCTCACCAGCTATGCCACACTTCTAATTTCGCCACATCCTTACCAATACTTGTTGTTTTCCCTTTTTTTTTTGAGACAGAGTCTCGCTTTGTTGCCCAGGCTAGAATGAGTGCCATGGCGTCAGCCTAGCTCACAGCAACCTCAAACTCCTGGGCTCAAGCAATCCTTCTGCCTCAGCCTCCCGAGTAGCTGGGACTACAGGCATGCGCCATCATGCCCGGCTAATTTTATATATATATATATATATAATAGTTGGCCAATTAATTTCTTTCTATTTATAGTAGAGACTGGGTCTCGATCTTGCTCAGGCTGGTTTCGAACTCCTGACCTCGAGCAATCTGCCCGCCTCGGCCTCCCAGAGTGCTAGGATTACAGGCGTGAGCCACTGTGCCCGGCCTCTGTTTTCCCTTTTTTTAGTAGTCATCTTAGTGAGTACAAAGTGATATATCTTTGTGGTATGATTTTGATTTGCATTTTCCTAATGACCAATGATACTGTGTGTTTTTTCATATACTTGTCGACTATTTGTATATTTTCTTGGGAGAAATGTCTAATCAAAAGTTTTGCCCATTTTAAAGTGAGTTTGTCTTTTTGTTTTGCAGTTGTTAGAGTTCTTTACATATTCTATATACTAGACCCTTATCAGATATATGATTTGTAAATATTTTTTCCTTTTTTGTGAGTTTTCTCTTCAATTTCTTGATATTGTCCTTTGATGCACAAGTTTTTAATTTTAATGAAATCTAATTTATCAATGTTTTATTTTTTCTCTTATGTTTATGGTGTCATACCTTAGAATCCATTGCCAAATCCAAGGTCATGATTATGTGAATTTTTAAAAAAAATCTTTTCTCAGAACCCAGGTGTAGATGTGTAGAAAGCAGGCAATTGGATTAATCAGAAGTAGAGATTTGCCAAGTGGCTATGACAATTGAAGAACAGGAAATGGGAATGAGGATAATAGCATGAGAGTAGATGAAGTTAAACTGAAATGGAAGAAGGTAGATAGTCAAGGGACAGGGGATATCCATAAGGTCAAGTAAGAGATGTAGAGTGGAATGAACAGGAGGGTGTAATTAGAAATGAAAATTTCGGTCTTGATAGAAAGATCCAGGGTGGGCCTATGAGGCCTAGAGGACTGGAGGGGAATGGATGTATATGGCAACAAATATTGTATAAAGAAAAAGCATTTCGTATCTAACATACTGAGTTAAAAAGCAAACTCCTAGAATTAGACACGTATGTCTACTTTTGCTAATTCTATTCAACATAGTACTGGAAGGCTCAGCCAGAGAAATTAGGCAAGAAAATGGTGCTACCTTATTCTTTTCTATGGCCACATAATATTTCTTTATGAGGAGGTATCATAATTGAGTTAACTAGTACCATATAAATGAACTGTAGTAATTTATACTTCTACTAGCAATGTATGTGAGAATTCCTATTTCTCCAGCCTTACCTAAATAATTTGTTATACCGCTTTTTGTTCTCTGTTTGATGAATGATGAATGGTGTATCATATTTTTAATTTCCATCTCTCTTGTTGAGAGTGATACTGAGCATCTTTATATATATTTAAGAACAATTTATACTTCATTTTCTGTGAATCATCTGTTTATGTTTTTGCCCAGTTTTCCATCAGATTGATGGTGTTTTTCTTACTTTATCGGAACCTTTTATATATTAAGGAAAATTAGCACTTTCTTTATGATATAATTATTAAAACTTTTCCCCATGTTTTCTTCTAGTACTTTGATCATTTCATGGTTTTTTTTACATATCTAGAATTACTTCGTATTGTGTGTATGTAGGTAGGAACTTTACATTTGTCCAGATGGTATCAGCTTTATTTTTATCCAAATGACGAGCCAGTTGTTCCAATAATGTTTGTCGAATAATTGATATCTTTTCTCTAGCAATTTGAAGTATTGTCTTTATCATATTCTCAAGTTCTCTGTGTATTTCAGTCTACTTCTAGGTTTATTCTTCCATTCCATTGCTTTGTTTTTCTGTTCATGTACTTGTGCTACACTGTTTTAAGTATTGTAGCTTCAAAATGGGTCTTAATATCTGGGAGAATGGATTCCTTCAGTACTCATTCAGAATCTTTCCTATTATTTTTGCTTATTTATTTTTCTGTGTAAACTTTGAAGTTATCTTTTCAACCCCTACTTTCCCCAACTACTACCACTACTAAGTTATAGCCAAAAACAAAAAAACTATTAGTGCATTCATGTCTTTTATTTGGTTTAAATTGTTTGGGGATATTTTATTTTATTTTGTTTTTGAGACAAGGTCTCGCTCTGTCACCTAGGCTGGAGTGCAGTGGCATGATCATAGCTTACTGCAGCCTTGAAATCATGGACTCAAGGAATCCTCTTGCCTCAGCCTCTGGGGTAAGTAGGAATGCAGGTATGCATCACCATGCCTGGCTATTTTTTTTTATTTTTTGTAGATATGGGATCTCACTGTGTTGCCCATGCTGGTCTCAAACTTCTAGCCTCAAGCAATCCTCCTACTTTGGCCTCGCAAAGTACAGGGATTATAGGCATGAGCCACTGTACCTGTCCTGTTTAGGGGTATTTTATAAAGAAATGTCCCCAGGTTAGGCATTGCCTGAGGTTTTTACCTTGTGGCTTTCTTGTATTCTATTTGGTTGAATGGTATAAGACAATCCAAAAACTACGTTACATGGCTTTATAGAACATTCTTTGCTGAACACCAGTTATAATATAATGCAAAGTAAAAGTTCCAGGTAGGTTTTTAGGATGGATTGGTTAGGACTATATGCCTGGCACAATGTTTTCCTTGTCCACTTTGTATTTATATGACCATTTTATATAGCTCCAGCTTTAGTTTTCCTTTGTTATTGACAATAATAACCTATATTATCTAACTTCAGTTATTGGGATGATTTGGCTTTTTCAGTTTGAGTTGCTAACATACTTCCAAGTCAGAAGGCTTCTTGAGATTAGTTCTCAGAATAGGTCTTTCTTTTATAATTTCTTCTTTGGTTTTGTTATTAAAAACTCTTTTCAAATATAGACAATACAAACATAATAAATGGAAGGAAAGATTCATCTCCTTCATGACTCAATCTTTCTTAAACAATATTATTATTGACTGGCCTATTGGTTGCCAAAAAGAGAAATCAATTTTATTAGAAGTATTTGCTTGGCCACAGATCTTGGTACTAACCCAGCACAGACAGTCTGATGTTATCAACCATCTGAAGACTAATTTTTACCATTAGTCTGAAATGAAGTAGTAATTAGAGATATGTCAAAGTCTACTCTGTGTTTTTCTGTCATTTTTACCCTTCACTGTATCTTGTACATTCTTTTATTGCACTGCGGTTTCTATGTTCTGTGACTGTGATGGAATTGGAACTTGTAATTTTATTTCTAAGAAAGATCTTTTGTAGATTTCATTTGTTATCTGGCAGTATTACAGAAACAGTTTTGTCTCTTCCACTGCTTGGCATTTTAGTTCAACTCTGAAAGTTAGGTTTTTACCACATTTGAGATTTGGATGTGGCTTAAACACATACACATACTCTTCTCCGACTTCTTGAGTAACTGATTTTTTAAGCCCTGAGGAAAGATTAAAACTACTTCCCAAAGCACATTAAAAGATATTTGAGTGCTGAAGATTTATTAGTAGGTTTTCACAGATTTGTTGTAAAGTAGCATTAGGGGAAAGAAGCAGGGCGGGGAGGAGGAGGAGGAGCATCTGTGGCATAGGTGCCTGCAGTGTGTACTAAGTGTTACACAGTTCAAAAGAAAAACTTTTGTTGAGTGGTATGGAAATGTTTAAGGACTCTATGATTATAAGTTATATAAGCTTATGGTTTATAGAATACCGGGGAGCACCGTGCCCGCTCAATGAATGTTTTGGTGGCTATTTGTGTGTTGTAAAGATTTCAAAAACATGAGAAAAGTATAAAACAGTAAATAAAACCATCTGTAATCCCAGTACATGGTATTATGTTGTGTGTGTGGGGGGGTGAGGAGTAGCATATAAAACAGTTTCTTAGTATTTACTATGTACCAAGCATTTTATGTGCATTGTCTCTTTTAGTCATTGCATCAATCTTGTAATATAGTTATATTACTATCTGCATTTTACTGATGAAGAAACAGGAACTTAAAGAAGTCGTAGAGTGGTAAGGCACAGTGGCTCATGCTTGTAATCCTAGCACTTTGGAAGGCCAAGGCTAGAAGATCGCTTGAGGGCGGGAGTTTGAGACCAGCCTGGGCAATGTAGTGAGACTCCATCTCCACAAAAAAACTTAAAAATTAGCTGAGCGTGTTGGCACTCACCTGTAGTCCTAGCTACTCAGGAAGCTGAGATGGGAAGATCTCTTGAGC